CATGACGTGGTCGTAAGCATCTGCAAAATTCATATATAAATATATATATACTTGGTGAGTGCGTATGCTTGCAGTACAGTTGACAAACAACAAACAATTAGTGATAATACTAATAAATATTTATGGTTATAATGAAATGTACGTCGACAACAATAATGATGAGAAGAATGTCTAAGTGAGGTTAACGTACTTTTTTATGTCAGTCAATGAAATGAACATAGAGGGTAGGTTCAAAGATCTGCCGTCCTCTGCGTGTCTGTACAGGGGCAAGTGTGAAGAGCGGGAGAGTTGGAGTTGCATAGACTTTCTCATTGTTTATTGGTGCAGGCGTTGCTAGTGTTTCATATTCGCTGTCGGTGAACGTTGGTTTAAGACGATCAATAGAACAGTCTCCTGTTTACCATGTCTGTTCAGCGTGAAGTATTTATCGGTGCGTTTGAGTACTAGAAAAGGACCTTCATATGGATGTTGTGAACCTTTTCTAATAGCATCGACACGAATAAATACAAATTTGCGGGTGAGCAGATTTTTATTAACTTGAGCTTTCTGAAGTGATTGGCGAGGGGCTACTGGTCGAAGTTGGAGCATTTGCTGAGTAAGGCGATTGGTGAAATCGGAGATATTTACATCAGTTGAATTATTAGAAGGAACTAACTGACCAGACAATGTGAGGGTAGTACCATACACAAGTTGAGCTGGTATGCATCCCAAGGCTTCTTTGACAGTTGATCGGATACTGAGAAGAACTAATTGTAGGTGTTCACTCCACTTAGATGAGTCAGCTTGTGCCATAAGCGAGCTTTTCAGTTGTCGATGGAAACGTTCCACCAGACCATTCGCTGCAGGATGATAAGCTGTAGTGGAGATATGGTTCACTCCAAGGAGTCTCGTAAACTCTCGAAACAGAGTTGATTGAAATTGAGCTCCTCTGTCCGTTGTAATGATTGTTGGTACTCCATAGTTTGACACCCAAAGATCTAGGAAAACCAAAGCGGTATTTTCTGCAGATATGTCGTTGAGTGGACAAGCAATAGCCCATCGAGTAAATAGATCAATAGCTTTAAGGATATGTGTAAAATCTCTGGATGGTGGTAATGGTCCAATAATATCTATATGAACGTTTATCTGGTAATTTGAACTGCTTGGAGTTGTGACGGTATGATGATGTACCTTGGATCTTTGACATTGAGAGCATTGGCGTGCCCATTTCCGAATATCGGAGTTCATCTTGGGCCAAATGAAACGCTCGCTGATTAACTTAACCGTAGCACGTACTCCATGATGAGACAGAGAGTGTAGATGTTCAAACAAAGGTTTTCGACAACTTAGTGTAACAAAAGGTCGATGAACGCCGGTTGAAACGTCGCAGACTATAGTTGTATCAGACAGAGGAATAAGTATATCCTGCAACTGTAGGGAGGACTTTCGTCTACAAGTATGAAGTTCGGCGTCATTTTTCTGCAACTTAACTTTACTGCCTTATCTAATGTCTATCGAAGATAGAAGCTGATTAACATCACATCGAGACAAAGAATCGACCTCGATATTGGAATCTCCTTTGATAAACTAGATGTCTGTTGAGAATTGTGACATGTAATCCAGTTGTCTGGCTTCTTTCGGAGAGTGTCTGTCCAACGAAGTGGTAAAAGCATAACAAAGAGGCTTATGGTCGGTTAAGATAGTAAAATGTCGACCTTGTAGTAAGAAGCTGAAATGTTTCACCGCTAGATAGATGGCTAACCGTTCTCTGTCAAAGGTGCTGCAACGAGTTTGCGCAGGTTCCAACTTCTTGGAGAAGAAAGCAAGTGGAGTGATGTCATTGTTGAACTTTTGTTGTTAAACTGCTCCCACTGCTACCTGCGATGCATCTGTACATAGAATGAGTGAGGCTTCCGGGTTGATGTGAGACAACATTGCAACGTTGGATAAAGCATCTTTTGCATTATTAAATGCTGCTTTTGCTTCTTCAGACAACTGAAATTTCTTTGGATTGCATCTAATTAGGTCGGCCAGCGGCTGAACTATGGAGGGACATGATGGAATAAAACGTCGATAGAAATTGAACATCCCGAGAAAACGTCTAAGTTTCCTTAAGGAATCTGGTTTGGGAAAATTCTTAATAGTTTCTATGTTTTCCTCCGTAGGCCTAATACCATTCGCGGTTATGTGGTGTCCAAGAAACTGTATAGAGGAGACACTGAATACGCACTTTTTGCGGTTAATGACGACGCCATATTGCTCAAATCGCCGATATAAGATGGTGAGGTGATCTATATGTTCTTCAGGCGACGAGCTAGCAATTAAAACGTCATCGATGTATACAGATACAAAATCCAAACCTTGTGTGACCTGATCCGTGAAGCGTTGCAAGGATTGGACAGCGTTCTTTAGACAAAATGGCACGCGCAGAAATTCGAACAAACCGAAAGGTGTAATGATGGCCGTTTTTCGATATCCTCTGGGGCAACTGGTATTTGGTGATAGGCCCTGACCAAGTCTACTTTAGAAAAAATGGTTTTTCCATGTAATGCCAGGAAGAAATCATGAAGGTGGGGAATCGGGTCGACCGTTACAGTCGAGAACTGTGGCGTTGTTTAAATGTCGATAATCCCCACATGGCCTCCAGTCATGATCAGCTTTAGGCATCATGTGTAAGGGTGAAGACTAAGGACTACTGGAGGGTCTGATGATGTCGAGCTGCATCATGTGTTCAAACTCTGCCTTGGCTGCTGCTAACTTGTCCGGGGGTAATCTACGAGGACGAGCACGAACCGGTTGACCCGTGGTAACTATCTTGTGAGTGACTGTATGAGGGACTCCGTCGATGTTGTACGACGGCTTAAGTATTTTAGGGAAACGATGGAGTAGGGCGGAAAACGTGCAGTCCGCTGGTCTTTCGATGCCGATATTATAGACAGAATAATTGGAGATAATTCCATGGATCTTTAGTTGGGTGTTGTTATCAATCAGTTTTTTATTGTTGACGTCAACTAACAGGTTGAAATTACTTAAGAAATCAGCTCCGAGGATGGCGCGACCGACGTTGGCTACTATGAAAATCCATGTGGAACGCCGACGTAAGCCTAGATCTAGTATAAGGGATTGTTCTCCATACGTCTGTATGCTTGCGTGGTTGGCTGCCCAGAGAGACAGTTTTACTGGTGTCCGTGTAGATCGCTTGGACAGTGGAGGATGGATCACGCTAACTTCTGCTCCTGTGTCTACTGGGAATAAAGTGTCTGAAGTTTTGTCCTTCACATAGAAAAGGAGACTTGTTTGCTTGCCAGTAACAGCTGTCGCCATCACTGTCTGGCTGAGACGTTTCCCTGAGCCTGACTCGGTTCGCTAAAGCTGCACGGTTTTACATATTTCAAGGCATGACGTTCAAACTTCTTGTGATACCGACATATATTACTGTCCGGAGAAGACGTGTGGGAACGCTGTCGTGAGAGAGATCGTCGTCGTGATGGTGACCTTGCTTGTGAACTCCGTCTCCGGACTCGTCGATCAGACCTATTAGTTTCCAACTTGTAAATCCTTGCCGCTAAGCCTGCAATGGCGGCGAATATCGGTGTGTTCGCCGTGGGTGTGGAATGACATGGTGTGGCACTATCAGATACTATGCGACCTATGGTGTTATTAGATAAAACATCCATAATACTATCTGCCATGTCACTTAGTGGGTCTAAGTCATACGAATTTCCTGAAATGATTAAAATTTGCTGGACATTTCTAGGTAAACGTTGCAACCACATCTGTTTCAGGACTACCTTGTCTACTCTATGGTGTCCGATTAATGAGCGCATGTGCCTGAGGAGCTGGGATGGTTTACATGGGGCTAGTTCACGGCCCGTGAGTAACTGTTGGATTCTTTTCTCATCTGACGAACTGGTGAGTTGTATAAGGAGGGCTTTAAGTTTATCAAATTGGTGTTCCGTCGGGGGATTTTCGATGAAGTCGCTGATTTCTGTCAGTACTTACGGAGGGAGTTCTGCCGGCACTACACCATATTTGGCTATCTGGGACTTAATGCCCCGTGCTTCTAGCAACGGCTCAATTACTGCAAACCTAATCCTGGGTTCTGCGAAACCGTACTGCGGTAAACGGAAATCAGTGATGGCATTTATTGTGGCATTTGTCGCGTTACTAGTTATCTGCTCGGTTGATGTAACGGACTGAGGTGACGACATTATAGATATGAGAATGTTGGTGCATAATAGGATAAAAATATAAGAAAACACACAAAATCACAATGAATATACAAAATGGCAAAAATAAGAATATGAATATATCAAAATAATCCGTGTCCTAAATGGGCTCATCAATTATTGCGGTGGACCTTAGACACTGTTAGCTTAGTATCCCAAATTCAGATAGAAAACAACATACCAAATCAGTTAAGTTACTGAAAGAATATATTAAAGTTTTGTCACTTGGGTGTTTAAAAGGTCCAAAATCCACAATTAACGTTATAGGCTTCAGAGGTATTGCGAGAAGACTGCTCCAATACTAATTCCCCAATGTTGATGTTCCCAGATGTCGACCAAAGTACGTAGGAGGAAACTACGGTGCTCCGGCGAAAATTTGAAATAGAAAGCAGGTGGTTAAAATTGATCGATGGCAGCTGAGATGTGGAGAGGATGGAGAGTCGAAGGCAGAACTACATTTCCATTCAAAACGAGGTAAGTACAGAGATTATGATTAAAACAAAGTAATGTACAATATGTTCATTTCTTACATAGTGGTAAAAATTGGATAAGTTTAGTTTTGAGGACTCCACAGATATAAGAGTTTGCTGTGGTTCTGGGGAGACATGTTGATAGTTTATCTACAGGGCTTTGTCCAAACTTTGTATCGTATGCAAGCCACACTCCGGACTAGTAGCTTATCCACGATAAGAGAAAAGGGGCAGAAAGATTAGCAGAAGTATAGCACCAAGAGCGCTATTGGATATTCTTGTTTATTGTTTATTTAACTAAGTGCTTTAGCTCAATGTCTCTCGTTGATGTCTATTGTTTTACCGAATCATGGTTATGTTTTCTTGATAACCGGGTTACAAGATTCTCAAGGACAGAATGGTAGGTAGGATTAGCACACTACTGTGGTGCATTCAATACGTTGTAAGGCGATGCGAGAATTCTTTCAGTTTGAAGGCGATTTTAGAATCATAGGACGTGGTTGATACTAGTTGTAATGTAGTTTTTTCTCAGCAAGAACTACATGACTGGTGATAATAATAAGAATATTTTCCTTAAAAATGCCAAAAGATAGCAGAAGTCATTACTGTAGTGGCTGCATTTTATTCAGATTTATTAGTATTGATTCCGGCGTTACTACCTGCAAATTTTTCTATCGTCATGTCATTTTCTAAGTAGGAATAGAATCTGTCGTCAGAAAAATTTAACGTGGGCCATATGATACCGACTGTATTGCTTAACATTGTGGTTGCTCCGTGATAATTAGAAGTGTTGTTGGCTACGTGGTTTCAATGATGTATGCGTTTTTTTAGTCATATTTACCATAATTCGGGTTTTCATGGAAATTATACTGGTACCTTTTTTACAAGTTTACTGGTAGCCATTGGAGTGAGCAAACACAGGGGCTGTAGGGACTATGTTCATAGTCGTCGAATAAATAGGGCCAAGTTAGTAGACAGATTCATGCATATATGCTAATGTAAACCCGTGCTAATCTCCCTTTCTACCAGGGAACTACATCGTCAAGTGGATTGCATCTGTCAAATTCAGATTCTAAGGGTTCAGTGTGCAGTTCACAATACTCTCACTCATGGTCTTTTCTGACATAAGTATGACAGTCAGTTAAAAAAAGTGTTAATATGGAACAGTGGATTAGTCATTTTTGGTATTTTAGTTTGTTATACACATGAAAGGTGCTCCTATCAGCAGTGCTTAGAAATATACAATACTTGGGTTTGTAGTTTTTCATATGTAACTATTGTGTGCATTTGTATATAATGCTTATCAGTCAATTGTATGCTAACTGTAGTCTTTCCGATTAACTCTTAGTTCCAACTGGGTGGATTCATCGCGGCCTGTGTTTTGATATAATTTATGAAGAATAATAATATGACTTTGGCCATTCCCAAGAAATTGGAAACTATTGCCAGTCACCAATTGCAGAATTGTGAAGAAGACTATCAATATCCTAGAAATGTGAATTTAAATGTAACTCCAAAAACAGTCGTCTCTCCTGAAAGTCCTGATTATTCTTTATACTGTGGTATTCGTCGTTGGCGTCCCTCTTGCTTGCGTAGTACTGGAAATATACAAGCTTTCCTCGCTGCTGCTTGCATCATATCTTGTTTACAGGCTGCTTTTTCCGGCTATACAAGTTCTCAAGTGACCACCCTTGAAAAACGTTTTGCGATTGGAAGTAGTATAATAGGAGTTATCAATTCGTTTTTTGAAGTTGGATATATTTTCTCTGTTATATATGTCAGTTATGTTGGAAGTCATGGTCGAGTTCCTCTTTGGATATCAATCGGTCTTTTTGCTATGTCTAGTGGAGCATTTTTGTGGTCCCTACCGCATTTCATCTTCTTTGATAAAAATAGATCAAGCTCTGTTGCATTAAGTGAACAACTCTGTGTTTTACCTACCAATTCAAGTACTTGTACTCAAGGTTGTAATGACAAGTTAAATGAGTGTTCAGAATCCTCATCGATGGGTTATGCCTTTCTCCCTATCTTTATTACTGCTCAACTGCTAATCGGTGCTGGTTCAAGTCCAATTTTGACGCTGACTCCGCCTTTCATCGATGACCATGTGCCCTCTTCCAAAGCACCTCCTATGATTGGTAGGTTTCCCTTTACTTATCGCCTTTTTTTAAATTCTATTAAATGCTATTTTTTTTAAAAGTGATTATATCTGACTTGCAAATTTTCAACCCCTTTCGAAATTGCTATATTCTATTGTGTTTATAATCGGTTTAAACTGAGTGTAAGTTATTCTGTAAATCATTGAATATTTCATCCTAGTATTAGTAGAAGAGAAACGCGAAACCTTGCACAAAAGTGTATGGGTTCAAGTTATCTTGTTTTGAAACACCGTAGAAGATATATGAATGATCCTAAACAGGAAAAAAGCAGTGAGATGGGAGAATGAGGCACTTCAGGATATCACTGATAATCAATAATGAAGATGTCTGTGCCTTTATGAGGAGCATAAAATATAATGTTTGTGAAATATTTGTTCGTTATGGAATGTTTCAGTTTGTTGTAATTATGTTTCTAATGGTTATTTACGTATAATGATAATTTTTTTGGTTTCGACAAGATTTCTCACATGAATGAAAAAAGTTTAGCACTGTGTGGGCAACTGTTAAAAAGGCATAAAATGTATTATTAGTCTTTTATCACTGGTTGCTAATGTCCTGAAGACTCGTTGACTGGACAAAATAATCCAGTGTTATGAAATAAGTTTCTCTTTACTGTCATAGTGGCGACGCTCTCAATACTCTTTTAAAGTGAGCCACGAATCAGGTATTTGAAGGACTGCGCATTGTTTCGTTCCTTGGTAGGTCCATGTATATGTAATCTTAAAGAGTCACAGACTTAGGTGAACCAGTCGTCTAATTCTCCATGAATCTCAGTGGTTCTCTAGCTGACCTTGGTTCACGCTGAAATTTCTTCTTGAAGACTAGCGTGGGAAAATCAAAACATTCTAAAATGTGGATGACATGGAGGGTTTCATTTTAGTGAAATGTCAGGAATTATCACTTAAAGTAGACAGACGCGATATGAAATTGTATGTAGAGTGGAATTAGTTAAAGTTGTCACATTTTTAAAGAACACGAAAAATATGAACATATATAGAAATGAATTAAGGTTAGTTGTTGAATGGTGAAATGCTGGCTGACCAGTCACGTGGTGTGGGTTCGATTCGCAGCTGACGCACATCTAAACGCCATCTAGTTTACCATCGGCTAGTAAACTAAGGAGTGTGAAAAGGCTGGGCTTAAGGCTAGCAACTATCCGTAAACACATCACCGCTACTGAAAGTTTAAAAAAGTTTGAATCCATATGTTTCACTCGGAACGCAAAAAATACAAGGAAAAACAGACATTAACTTGAAATGTAGATAAATACTTGAGTAATGGTTCATGAAAATATTCATGTCTTAGAACATGCCAGCGTTTGCACTTGGACCATTGGTAATGGCTTCTAGTGTTCATCGGGAATGTCAGGCACCTTAAGGGTTGTCTAATAAAGTCACTGGACTACATTGACGCCTAGTTTAAAAATAGGAAGTGAAGTGGTAGAGCACGTTGACCGCTTCACTTATTTGGGAAGTACCATCAGCTAGTCTCGACGGGCTGATCTCTGACGAAATCTCAGCACGAATACAAGGGGCTCGTTTCTCATTTGTTAGTTTACGCCGACTCTGGCGTAGACGAGATGTTCGACTATCGACCAAAGGTCGGGTGTACTGCTCATCAGTCCGCTCCGTCCTCCTTTATGGCCAGCTGTGAGACCTGGCCACTGAGAGTGGAAGACATGAAAAGACTAGCTGTCTTTGATCATAGGTGCCTGCGTTCTATTTCCCGTGTAAAGTGGTTTAATAAGGTGAGCAACATGGAGGTTAGGCGTAGAGTTCTAGGTAAACAGGGGAAATCAATCGACGAAGTCGTGAAGCTACAAAGACTGAGATGGTTAGGACATGTGTTACGTATGCCTAGTCAGCGATCGCCTCCCTCGACGAGCAATGTTAGCGGATATAGGGTCAGGCTGGAAAAAAGCTAGCGGCGGTCAAACAAAAACTTGGCACCAGTCAATGAAATCCACAACAGTTGGTCTAAGCCATGTAGGAAGGTGTAGACTTCCTGACTTGTTGGGGTCCTCGGGACGGTAAAAACAAATGGTTGGAAACAATTGGTGACATGGCTCAAAATCGTTCTCAGTGGCGCAGATGCATCCACTCCCTGTGACTTATGATCTTCAATGAAACTGTTTTGTATTTCTTTATTACTCCTTTGTCTCACACCTCTGCTCACTGTTTCTATTATGCTTTTCTTGTACTTTCTTCTCTTGCTTCGCGTGCTACACGGAATGTGGCGACTTGAACTTCCGCACATTTGTGCAAAGTTCTATGTCGAAAACAGACAGACAGACAGACTCTCATCTGTAAATTGTATTTCTTCACGCCTTATGTATTTCAGTACTTAATAGCTGTTTATTCAGAGTTTACTAATACCTTTATATTTCATTTTGGTTTTATTTTGTAGATGTTCTTTGCATGGCACTTGTTTGTAAGGAGTTAAACTGTTATCCAACTTTCTTCGTTGTGTGAATCTTTGTCTGCTTCCGTCACCGTTTCTCTTCCTTTCTTGTAGTTCATTCTTTGAATAAATAGAAGCAGTTGGTGATTAATTTCGGTTAAAAGTATTTTAAGTTAAAAAAAATTGACTCGGGCTGGTTGTTGTCATGGTCTTTGTCAAGTTTCATGCATTTGAATATTATAACTTCATATGCTGTATTCGTATTTTTAGAGTTTAGATCTACATATTTCTCTTTATTTATATCGTATTAGTTACATGTTACATTTTTTATATGTGCTTTTATGGACTTTATCACCGTTCAATAGCAAGACATGGAACTGACTATCTTTTAGTAACTACATACCATTTTCATGCAGTTAACTTAGTAATTAACTGGAGATGTTTGTTTGTGTGTATTTTAACGTTGTGATCTGATAGTCATTGACTCACCTGCTGTTACTATTGCATTTATTTCATCCCTTTGTGTTTCAAGTGGAACATCAGGCGTCAAGCTTAAGCTTTGAATTTTCACTAGTCGGTTGTGTTTGTTATCTGAGGTATAGGGTTGCTAGTTTCACATCCAACCTTCTCTCTTTACTGAGCTTACTGATATCGGCTGAGCGAAGTTCAGAAATGTTTTGACCGGAAATCTGGATCACTTAATTCGTTGGCCAGTATTCTACCATTGAATGACGGATGCACTACTCACCTGATGAGTCCCACTGGAATTTACAGATTTATTGAACACTGGCTTTTTGCATTTTTATCGATTGTCTTAGATCTTTCGTAAAATAGATTCGTGTAATTATGTGCACTCCTAAAATGTTTTAGTTATTTTTGAGGTGGTATATTCATTTGTTGTCAGCTTTTGTAGAATTCATATTTCGAGGATATTCAGTGGTATTTTAGTTTATTTTTTTATTGCTTAAATTGCATCCGGGATTACATACTTTATTCATTTCTGTTTCTTTCTTGTTCTAATCACTATTATAGCTTCACAGTATGCAGCAGCAGCAATGGGCCCTGTTGTTGGTTATGCATTAGGAGCCTTTTTGTTACAATATCCAGCCGATATTTTAAGTTCTGACGCATCTTTCACAATTGGTCCTCACGATCCCAACTGGATCGGTGCATGGTGGGCAGGATTTATTTTATTGGGTAAGGAGTAGAAATGTTTTTGGATTGTTTTTTTTTACTTGATTTATCATATTTTTATGTTTTCTTAGCGAAGGATTTTAAAGTCCTTCGTGTTTTATATCTTATTTTACACAAGCATTATAGACCTAAGTTCTAAAGTGTCCCTAGTTTTTAATGGTGTTTTTAGGCTATAAGGTCACAGCTACTAAGTGAAATATTGTATCAATAAGATTCACATATCATGTTATGCCAATCTTGTTTTTCCTGTTTTCATGAAGACGATTAAGCGAACACGTATTAATTTTGTGATTAGTTAGAGCCATAGCAAAGAATGGAAATGTTAATTCGTTCAAAATGCCACTGATCATTTTGTATGCTACAGCCGTAAGCATCATATAATATCGTATAGTCATGTGATATGTTGTCGTCTATGCTTCTGGTCAAGATAAGTTTATTTATGTAACTAAAACACGCAATATGAGTATTAAGACATGAACCACACAAAACAGTAAAATAGCAATATGAGGGAAAATCGGTTGAACTATAGAACAAGCTAGCACACGTAACAAGAATGTTTAGAATAACTTTCCTTACTTGATATTATTTTCAAAAACATAAGAAAGAAGGAATTTGTAGCACATAGTCATCATTGGTTTCGTTATCGGGCTGTAACTGGTGTCATTTCGAGTCCTTTATTTGTATAATTTCCAAGACCTTACCTCTATGTGTTAACCAAACACGGGTATCTTTCCTTCTGAAACACCTCCGTTTGCATAGCATCTCTTTTTGCTACCATTCCAAGGGCTTGCGAGCAATGGAAAGTATAGGAGATGCTGGGATACCATTCAGAGCACATGTTCTAGTAATGAAAGCTAATTCCTTGAAATGACACCACTTGCTGAAAGACCATCTCCATCCTGTCCGAATGCCTATTGTCGGACCTCAGGAGTATCTACATGGTGGTGCCAGCAGATACAAGAAATTCCACAGAGACAGAGATGATCAAATACTCACAGTCAAGACGCATCTTCAACACAGACAGTTAGAGTTTCACAGGCATGGACCAAGATTGTACGGCTGGAAATTCGTTTCCTTACACTTGTACCACCACTCACACGACTACCTAACTACTTGAACTTATTGACTATTAAAGGTTAATCTGCAAAGGAGAGTGCTTCCACAGACTTCTACGGATCATACAATAGTACTTCACCTTTCGATGGGGCAAAGCATATACCCTACTTACACGCACTTGTTTCCAGCTAACATTGTCTGACTGGTTTCAACATAGAACTTTGTACCGATGTACAGCAGTTCGAGTCGCTACACTCCATTTAGTATACAAAGTAAGAGAAGAAAGTAGAGAGAAATGCAAAACAGAGACAGTAAACAGAGATATGAGGCAAGAAGAATAGTAATAACGAAGAACAACATAGTTTTGCTGGGTATTATAAGTCACAAGGAGTGGATGTATCTGCCCCACGGTGTGGGCAGCTGGGAAGTAACAACCGCCCACACACTCCCAAAAGCACAGTTAACGGAAGACTTCAAAATAAACTGACAACACTTAGAAACTACAGGTGGACACCTTGAAATTTTCTAGATTTATCAATTGACAAAACAGCTCAATTCTCCCCAAGTTTACAGATTATAAAAGGGAGGGTGAGGTTAAAGACAAAGATTACGTAATCAGATGAGAGAAGAAAAAGGCATCGTCGTGGACGTCGAAAAGTCGTTCAAAATTATCAATAGGCAAAAGAGCTCAATTCTCCTTAAGTTTGCTGAAGCGGTTTCTATCAAACGCTTGAAACCAGATCTATGTGTTCAGAAAGAAGCAGTTATTAGTCTTTCCTTGCCTTGGTAATTGGATGCCTTTTTTTCTCTCATCTGATTACGTAATCTTTGTCTTTAACCTCACCCTCCCTTTTTATAATCTCTAATTTTGCTTGTCTCTTGTTTCTATGATTTGAGCTCAACTCAGTACATTGTTACCTAACTTACTAGTCACTATGCATCTAACGCACATCTCATCTTTATTATGTAACTCCTTTACCATTATATGCATACATTTATTTTGTTTTAACTTGAACTGCCTGTGTGAAAACTATATAAGCGCAATTTTCTCCCCAAGTTTGTTGAAATAGTTACTGTCAAACACTAGATTCCCGATTGATACGTTCAGAAAAAGGCAGTTATCAGCCTTTCTTTACCCTGGAAACTGGATGTCTTTACTCTCTCCTCCCTAGTTTGATTACGTAATCTTTGACTTTAACCTCTTCTCCCTTCTCAGTATAATGTAATTTTGCTTATTTTTTCGTTTCTATGATTTAAGCTGGACTCACTACATTGTTGTGCAACCTATTAGTCAATTATCACCTTATCGACTATTTGTCTTTATTACAAAACTTTTTTCGATTCTATTCAAAAATTTATTGTTTCTTGGTTATATTTCATCTAAACTTGAACCCTCTGTGTATAGGCTATATAAGTGTAATTTTGTGAGCGCAGCTTACTAATTTTGAAGTCTCCTGTTAACTGACATCATGTCACTTTTGCAAGTACTCTAAATTGTCTCTGTAAATAAACTTAATGTCTTTCTCTAGGCTGTAGGTAGCTGATGAGTAGCTGACAAAATAAATGGTGGTACCATCTTATTGCAGTACAAACCGTTGTTTTGTTTGACCTATTCAACCTACCTGCATATAATTTTTTCTCTTGGTAAACTTGAACAAATTAAGGAGCAATCATTAAAGCTGGATAACTTAATAGTACTTTATTATTTCATTGGGTCCTACCAAGTGCATACAACCCTAAGGATTCTTAATATTTGCACGCAGTATTATTCACATAATACAATCACAACCAGCTTGGAGACAGAAGACCTTTATTTATTGGAGGTCAGTTATGCAGAACATAATTTTCATATTACAGGGTATGAGTCACTATTACTTACTACTGAATGACTAGTCTTTGACAGAAAAGATGAGATGTAACAAACAACGCATGACGTAATTGTTACATGTTGAAAACTAGATGACTCATACTGACTTCATATTGTGAGTAGAAACCAAACAGTAAGGTCAAGAACAGTTAATAAAGAGTGTAAGATGTCATGTCCAACTAAGAACAATCAATGTGGCAATTATATTAAAAATTTCACAATAAAGGAGAAAAATTAACAATAATTTCCTTCAGAATTCATAGGTTCAGTTGTAATCACTTAATAGCTAGCTACCGCTTCAACGATATGTAACAATCCAGAGCTTACTCGTACTACAGTTATCTGAAATATATTTATTAATATTACATGGTTAATATATACCAAATAATGAATGATTGCACCACAGAAGGCTTTTGCAAGCTCTTGGGAATATATTCAAAAAAGTATTACGGATCCGTCTTTTTTGTTCATCTATTGTGTGTGCTTTGTGACAGAAATGTAGATTGGTACCTGTATTAGGAGATAATGTGAAAGGGAGACTTATCAACTTTATATTTCCCAGTGAACAACATATTTGGTCATGTGTGACTAAGTGAGTAGCTGGTGGTTAGGTTCTCAGCAGTGCAAACTTTATTTCGTATTCAACTCTTCCAGGTACTTTGTTGTCTTTAAATCTATCCAGTCTTTCTTTTCGACTATATCAAATTCCTGTCTTGTATTTAGTGGAACATTCTCAGGAGATGCTTTAGGAGGGTTTATACTCATGAAATGCGAATGCTGTAGTTGCTTATATGTTACGAAGCCAATAATGACTTTATTAGAAAACCAACATCGATCCACATTTACAAAGTTTGACTTCGATTATGAGAAAAAAGTACTTTAGTTACTTCGTTATTGTCGTGAATAGTAGAAAGCTGTTCAAACAAAGTGGTTACTGGGATGTTACATCAATTTTGAAAAGCACTCATTCACAATGGATTTCCATTTAGATTTGTTGAGAAAATTTTATTATCTAAGTAGAAGTGTCTAATTCTATACTTTGAGGTAGTATAGTTATCATTATTATTATCACGGCGCATACAACTCATTGCTTAGTGCACATACTTCCACATAATAAGACTATAGATTCATTTCATGCATTTTGGATAAATTGTGTTACTCAAGCAGATTAACTGGTCACATTTAAATATTAAGCAATTTTGTATGATAACTTTTATCAGAGGCATAAGGTGAGATGCTGATCACCTTGTAGTAATTCGTTTTGGTCTTCATATACTTAGTTTATTTATCATAATAGGATTGTGGTTCAGACAAACTAGACATGTGCTGAAAGCTATTTTAGCCATTTTATTATAATAGCTATTTCCAACTGGATATATTCGTTTAATTTCGTAGGAAACTTTGTTTGTCTGAGATCATTTACCCGGAAACGCGATTCTCAATGTTCCATGATATGTATGAGCGACACATATTTTGTGAGGACTGATGATACTACCCAATAATGGCCCAGGTTGAAGTAGGTGGGGTGGAACTCAAACTCTGGGACCCATTAGTTGTAAGTTGTTTTCTTAAACCGACGAAATATGTAATTGTCTGATTACAGTTTGAATTGGAATTCGTGTCAGTATGTACGTTTAGTCTCTGGAAAGTGGAAGATAATGATGAAGGTTTCCTCTAGACTTACTCTTAGTTTCAAAATAAGGAGCCTTGAATAATTCACTTTTTCTGTGAATTCCTGCTTTCGTTGATGTAGATGAAATATTTATGTTCATCGCAACTCAACAGCTGCGAAACTCTTCTACTGAAATCAAAAGACATAAAAAATAAACTACAGGTACTGACTATAAATTTGTTTGTAGTACTGCTCAACTTGAGAGTAAATAATTTATAGATTAGAATTTAAATAAAGCCTTAACTGAGGAGAGCAAGTCAGTAATATGAAGTTGTGAATCTTTATTTCATACGCATATTCACTTACTATTTGAGTTGAAAACTCACCCCATCTATCACCTGTCAGTTATTTAGCCTCTTCGTTTTGATCTGTGAAATCTAGTATGTCGTGGTACTGGGATAGGAACTCATGTACTAATCTCTTATCTCGCTCCACCTACTTTGGCGCCAAAGCAGCTGTGTATTATTATCAACCCTTTGCACAGAAGTATGGCTTATAGCCTGAAAAATGTTAAAGACACGTTTCTAAACTGAGCTCATATTATTCTCTTTAAAGGATACTATTACTTATTACTTAAGATGCTATTGATTTCAGGATTTTATCATGAACTGGTGTCGGTTAGAGGACCTTTGGAAAACTTGGGAGTACTAGACAGCTGTTTCGTCCTAGTTTGGGGTCCTTTAACAATACTCACCCACTGGGGTTTGAACCCAGGGTCTTCCGGTCACAAGGTGAGCTCGTAGACCATCAAGTCCACTGGGACTCGATCCAATGACCAGTCCGTGAATTCCAACTTCTGCTAATTCATGAAATCCTGTAACCAATCAATCGAATCCCTACAAAGCAATACCTGTTTTGGATTGTATTAGCCAGCATTTCGTGTTATATACAAGGATCAATCTAGCGGCGGGAAATGTCCTTTCCGATGTACCTCTAATTCTTTTTTCCGATTCTTGTTGACGCTTTTTACCCTTTATACGTCAACCAAATAAAAATCGGGTTTTTTTTCTTTCTCTGTGTCCAAGTGTGCGAGTGCACTCACCAAGCACTTGGTTTACATAGAGCATTCAGTCGAATTCAATCAAGCCTTCAAAATAATTAATCTATAGAGAAAACTCTGGTTACTTCGCTTGAGTGATACTAAGTGCTAACACGAAGGAACTCATGTTCCTTCTGAGCTCCGAACCTTGCTGCAGTCAGAGACGTTACCAATGAGCTGTTACCACCACCTAGCATGGAGGTGGTTAACAAACAAAAGACTAGGCGCATGACACTAGTTAGTGTGTCCAATCAAAGTAATCAGTATTATACCTAGCATTTACTCAGTGGGTACACTTATATCCATATACATAATTGTTCGTTAATATTTATTATTTGTTTCATTGTTAATCATTCACTATCTCTCCCTCCTGTCTCTCTCTCTCGTTTCTTTATCAGGTATTCTTGTTTTCATCGGTGCTGTTATTCTATTAATGTTTCCACGTAAATTACAAGAATTATCTTGTTGTACAAATCAGTTGAAATCGAATAAATTATCAACTATTGATGCCACATTAGATAATGGTTGTATAGTGAATGAAACAAGTAAATTCATCTATTTATAATTGAAAGTTGTTTATTTTATAACTATTTTTATAAACTATTGTTTTATCAGTGTTAGTTGATTAGAACTTAATTACTCAGTAACTGGGTTATGAGTCACGCAATTATTATGTGCTGGCTGATGATAATTAATTACCTAGTTAGTCATGCTACATTAAGTGGGGTGGAACTCGTACCCGAAACCCGTCGATTGATTTGGGTGAGATTGACATTGAGTCACATACTGCTCCAAGATTTGGCTAACAGACCCAAGTGGTATCATCAGTCTGCTGCACTCAGCATGAAGAGCGCAGCTCGGATTTTCAACACCCTTCTATATGGGTCAGAAACGTGGTGGACACGTCACAAAAAGCACTTCCAACAATCTTCCGGCTTTCGCTAACATCTGCCTTCACTGGCTCCATACTGAAGGTCAGATAGCCAGGAACAATTAGCAAGAAACTCTGTGAAAAGAAATAGTCAAGAACCTGTTGCTAAGTAAATATGCAGAAAAAATGCTAATGGATAAGATACACACGGAGAAGACCGTTGGATTACATCATGTACCAGGCCCACAAGAGTGAGCACGAATGAGAAATGACGACTTAGGCTTCTGAGAGGAGTGACGTGAAAGAAGTCGTTTGAGGAGAAAATAACAGCTTATTGGCGATTGTGAAATCAGGTAAAGGGGACTGCAGATAACAGAGTGAAACGGAGATGTGCTGCTGATGTTCTATGTTCCACTCAGAATCCTAGGGAATAACAATAATGGTCAATCAATAAGTCATTAGCTTTTCACACAATATTTGTAGTTTATTGTCAACCATATGGGAATGCGAATGGCTACTGTTGATTAGTAACATTTGAATCATTTCATCTAAAAAAATGTATAAGCCTTTACATGATTAACAAAAATTATTTGATACTGTTAAACAGTATTGTGTGTATGTACTTACAGTCTAAATTTAGCGGTTATAGTTTTGTAGTCAACTAACTGTGTTTCAGCGTAGGACTCTGCATAGAGAGGTGTAGCAGTTCGAATTGCTGTACTTAACGTAGCACAAAAAAGTAGAGAAAAAATAAATTTGAAAGATTTATAATCAGCAGAAATGTATGGGAGGAAGAATAATAACATGGAGGGTGTAATGGATCTGTGAGTTAGATTACAAAGAGTGAAATCATCTCACAGTGTTATACAGTAATGTTTACTGATATTTACAAAATAGAAAAGAAAAAGTGTTCAGCAAAGAGTTACTCTTTTCGGCGATATCATTCTCAAGCTGTACAAATCGCAAATTTATAGTAATTTGTCTTGGCAACAAAAGGAATATTTCCAAAAATGTGTTAATGCAATTGTTAGTTTTTGACAAACAGATTACGTAATTTTGAAGGCGTTAATCGGTTAGAAACTAAAATAAAGTTACAAAAGTAGGTTGGGTGACGTAATGTGCATCTACCAATTCACCTGCTCATGTGGAGCTAGGTATGTCGGCCGTACCCAGCGTTTGCTATCCAAACGAATCAGCGAACACTTACCTTCATGGTTTTATAAAGGAGAAAGAAGATCCCCCCGCCACAGCTCCATCCTAGAACACTTGATCGAATCCGGACACCAAGCAAACCCACAAAACAACTTCTCAGTTATTTACACAATACGTGGAAATCTTGCCAAAAGAGTACGAATTAAACTTCTTCAAACTGCAGAAGCAATGGCAATTCACATATTGAATCCTGAACTCTGCATACAAAAGAAGTTTGTTCAGTCACTAAATCTACAATGGTCCTGATCTATCTTAACACCAAATACGTAATTTTGTCTTACCTCTTTCTTCTTTGTTTGTCTATTTCTTAATTGCATTATTTTCTATCCCCACCCTCTATTAAATCTCTACGCTCATGACGACTGTTGCTAACTCGATTTTCGTTTATTTTTAAGTGAATTCTACTCAGCTTATTAACTTAACTCTCATTCATTTTCAAGTGAATTCTACTCAGATTATTAACTTGACTCTCATTCATTTTTTCATTGAACCCTACCAATTAGATTACGTCACCCAACCTACTTTTGTAACTTTATTTTAGTTTCTAACCGATTAACGCCTTCAAAATTACGTAATCTGTTTGTCAAAAACTAACAATTGCATTAACACATTTTTGGAAATATTCCTTTTGTTGCCAAGACAAATTACTATAAATTTGCGATTTGTACAGCTTGAGAATGATATCGCCGAAAAGAGTAACTCTTTGCTGAACACTTTTTCTTTTCTATGACTGAATGGGAATTTACAAAATACCCTGCAATGACTGTGAGGTCAACTACATAGGTCAAACTAGTAGGTCAGGGGTAGTCAGATTGTCAGAACATAAGAATTCAGCTAAGATAAGAATGGTTGACCCCACCCGAGAAGATAAGTAATTTAGAAAAACGCTCAGCAATTTCACTGCATGCATTAACACACAACCACACAATAGGGTGGGAGGGTTAAAATTCTAAAAAGTAATCTAAATAGGTGGAGAGAGAGGTTGATTACTGAATCCTTGTTCATCGAGTCTACACCGAACACATGCAATAGGAGTGATTCATCACTCATACCTGAAATATGGAAAATACTACTACCAATCAAATCAAGTGAAAAATAATGGAACTATATAAATGAAGTTAGGAAGTCGTGTGATTATCTTGATATGATTATGAGCAGCAATAAATTGTTCTCGAAACGTCATCAGTAAACATTACTGTATAATACTGTGAGACTTTATCAAAACAAAAATTTACCCATAATGTAATTATACTCTACCACAGTGCACAAGTTTTATTCTTATATCAGTGAAATCATCTCCACTGCTGTGACAGTGATTTTGATAGGTGTCATCAATAGTTTCAAACCATTTGTTCGTTCCGTTTCACCGACTGCACGCCACCAAGTTGTCTGCATCAGCCTTCCATAGCTGACTGAAACCAATAGTCAAAAATTTCACAGATAGAATTAGATAGATAACCAACTAGGTTAGATTTTGTCATAAACCGAAAATTACAATAGAGCCAAACATTTCAATCCACAGCTATGTTGTCCTAGTTCAGAAATTCAAAGCTCTGTAAAGAATTACTCCCCTCATCACATCGACCATTCAATCAGTATGTATTTATATATAACTCTTTAGATAGATAATGTATTTTGTTTACTGACCTCAGATATTCTATCCCTTAGTGTTAAGGATGATGCTGATTAATTTGAGGATAATGTAATTATCACATTTGTGTTTTGTTTTTTGACTGTGAAAAAAAGATTCAAGGTGTTTATGAGAACTGAAGCCATCTTTAGGTAATTTTGCTCATAAATATCATCTTACAATGAAGATCAGCCCATTTTTATTATTGAGTAAAAAGGTTAAATTCATAAATAGAATAGATTATTTTAATTATTCCTTTAGGTTATTCGTGGTCACCCTCATAGGCCTAGCTCATAGTGTCACTCGACGGTCTCCTCCGTGTGTATCTGATCCATCTGCATATTTGTTGGCCAATAAGTTGTTCCATGTCCCCACACAAACTTTTTCTTTTGGTGCAAGAAGATTCATCGTGCTGAAGTTTCTGTAGAAACTTTGCTTACAGGGCGGGTTGCTAGCCTCATGCCTGAGAAGGGAGGTTGTTACATTAAAATATAGTTTACAGAGAAGCGACCTTGTGGGTTGCTCCCCTTAAAACCAGGAAAACAAGGAATAAAGCAATCAGAACAACACCAGCAAAAGGAAAATAATTCACAACAGGAAGGGCAACAAGCGACAAGAACAATAAGAAAACCATAGCAGTAGTACCACAGTCAGAAACAGTAAACAAAAATGATACCAAAATTATAGACTCATTGACTTAAGCCAACTTTGACATGTAAATCCATCAATATATACAATTATAGATATTAGTTAGTGTCAGAGAGTCACAAAATGGCAAGCAGATAGTCATAGGTATTATCGGTCAAGAAGATTATATCCACAGATACAGTGTTCGAAAGGCTGATAATAATATATATTCTACAGCTTCTTGGCAAGAAATTCCACGAAAGTGAGAGTTTTATGTTACCATGTAAATGTAACGTATTAATCGAAAAGCGCGTCAAGGTGTTACGCAATAAGTGATATTTACTGATGACGTTTCGAGTAAAAATTATTGCCGTTTACAATCATATCACAATCAAATGTGAAGTCAGTGATACTATACTGATCAGAGACTTGGCGCGTCATAAGTAGCACACCAAACAAACTACAGACCTTCATCAACAGCTGTCTTCGCTCAATACTCAAGATCAGATGGCTGGCCAGAAAAGATCAGCAACAGGAATCTCTGGGAATGAGCGAACCAACCAGGAACCGATTGTGCAACAAATAGGAGGGAACAAATGGAGGTGGCACAGTGGTTAGGACTCTCGCCGACCATGCACATGGTCCGGGGTTCGAGCCCACGCCGGCGCACGCCTGATATCTATGGTTGGCCTGCAAAATTTGGGCTACCGATATCCATGCTGAAAATTCCATACTTGTACCGAAAAATACCGTGTGGAATCAAGCTGTAAATCAAAAAAAAATACTTTGGGGAAACCATCGAGTGACATCACTAGACAAGCCATTGCTCGAGTGGAACCCGAAAGGGAAGCGGCGAGTTGGTCGTCAGTGCAAGGGTGATTTGGAGGAGGTCATGTGAAGAAGAGATGAAAGCATGTGGGCAGACTTGGAGCGGAGTGAAAAAGTTGGCAGAAAACAGAAGACAATGGAGACGCGCGACTGAAGCCCTATGTTCCTCTAGGAATTAAAGGAAACAATAATAATAAGTTGTTGGCTGTTTTGTTGCCTTCCAGAGTTTCTTATCGTTTCCGGCCGGCCGACCGGTAATCCGATCTTTAGCACTAAATATTGATAGATGTTTATTAGGAAACATGAGTTGCGAGGTAAAAATTGACGCCAGGAAACCGAGTACAATCGAAACATACTTATTGGACCCTATGTTTCCTGCAGGGCCCAAGGAATGAATAAAAATAATAGTAGTAATAATAATAACAACCCAGTTCGTTATTCATCGCATTCGAAGTACATCGCAGAAGAACACACTTGTATTCTACAAGGATTTAATCCTATGACTCTAGTCATATAGTCTAATAAATGCTGAACCAGTAGGAAACCATGAACACTGAACCGTATTTCCTGTCTGTAAATGACTATTAAGATCGTATTTTTATTGATTTGTGATCAGAGTGGATCTTAAATTCTAGAGAAGTTAAGATACGTAACCAAAACATACTCAGTGTGTGCTTGACTGCATTACACAATGCTGTAAGATTGTTATAGACTTTGTGTAGCCTTTTCGAAGCGATCTAAGATTATCCATCACAAAAGAATCTGTAAATTTTTTGGATTCACTCATCCATTATATAGATGATAATGATTTCGAACCATGATCTGTTTATCTAAGCTTGGCAGGCAACTAAATACGATTAAAAAAGCATCAGAGAACAGAAGAGACATTTTTAAAAATTGTGTTTTTATATGTGCATCTGTTCCAATCCCTGTATAATTAGGTGATGGTGAGTCTCAATAACGATTATTCATCAATCCAGCTGGGAATAAATTATTCTAAGCCCAGGATTGTATAACGCATATTTTTGACATTTATAATAATAATTTTTCCTTCACGTTCCCCAGTGGAACATAGGGCTTCAAGCTAGTGGCTTAGAGTTTCTGTAGCAGTATTTATTTTACAGGATGGAGTTGCTAGCCTCATGCCCAATCCTTCCTCTTTACCAGCATTATTTCTGGCTCAACGAGGTGAAGGAGTGCGTCCGTGGCCGGGGATCGAACCCCGGACCATGTGCATGGTCGGCGAGCGTCCTAACCGCTGTGCCACCGACGCCCATTGATTCATAATAATGTCTAACACCAGAAGGGAGAATTCAAGTGCATAGTTTTTACTCTCTGTTTTTGTACTGAGAAAAAACTATGCTATTTTAATTACTATCTACGTTAACGCGTTTTTATCTAGATAAAGAAATTTTATTCCAGTTTAGATAATTGTAAAAATAATTAAGAAGAGTTTATTACACCCCATTAATTAGTTGCTGCTTTTTATCTCATAATTAACCTTATTTATATAATGCTGCTATATAGCTCCTTTTTATTGGTGTAATGGTTATTACATTGTTAAGAGTATTACATATTTTGATGATATTAAGCATGTGAAATATGCATCATACAGCTCATATAATCACTCCTGGACTTTGCACAGGAGTACAACAGGTCAGGTTGCCATACTTCATGTAGCACATAAAGACAAAAGAATGTTGAAAATGCATCTGGTTGAACAATATTTTGTATCATTCTACAGCTTTTACAGAGGTTCAAGCCTCATATTTAAAAAAAAACTTATTGACATTCAGTTGTCTAATTAATGTAAAGCTTTCGGGAACTGGAAGCAGTTAGTTCCCTTTATAGATTTTGACGAAACCAGCGTAACCAGTGAGGAGATCAGTCACTCGTCTTTGACATTGAATGACAGTTACGATATTTATATCGCTAATTGGCAGAAGTTGGAATTTATAGGGCATTGGATCGGATCCCCACGGTTTAATAGTCTACGAGCTCACCTTGCAATCGAGAGTTCCTGGATTTTGAACCCCATTGGTTGTGTACTGATGAAGAGTCCCTAACTGGGACGAAACAACTGTCCGCTACTTGCAGGTTCTCCAGTCGTTTTGTAACTGATATCATGTCAACTTGTGATCAAGCCTGTAGCCAATCAAATCAAATCCCTTCAAACCAACATTTGGTAAACACATTAAGAAGACGTAATTTATCTGAAACCTATAATGTGTTTGCGCGACGCATTTCGAACATTCTGATCACACACGTAATTGTCGTACATATTTATATAGGAAGCAACAAAGCATAAGTGATCTCAATTTTTTATCAATAAAAGTTAAAATGTTTACGCGTCACTATGATAATAATAATAATAGTGAAATTTTCACCTCTTTCCTAACTCTTATTTGTGATCGTGACCCGCAAAAATATTTTGACCCCAATTGATAAAAATTGTGACCTTTTATTCTCTGTTGCCTTTTATATAAGTGTGTAATCGGAATGTCCGAAATGTGTTGCGTAAAGACACTACAGATTTCAGATGAATTAAGTCTTCTTATTGTTTTGTCGAAATATTGAGTCCTATATGTAACAAGTTGAACATGAGATAATATAATTTTTTCTGTGTAGCTTTTTGGAATCTGAAGCTGATGAAGAGTCCCAGACTAGGACAAAATAGCTGTCCAGTACTCCCAGGTTTTCCAGTGGTTCTCTAACTGATATCAGCTCATGGTGAAATCCTACATACAATAAAACAAAATCCCTACAAAACCAATACTTTTGGAAGTGTCTGACTGACTGAATTTCAACATAGATCTTTGCACAGAAGTGCAGCAGTTCAAGTTGCCACACCAAACGTAGCACACAGATGTGTAGAGAAAGGGTAGGAAAAATGGATTCAAAGATACCATCATGAGCGAAAATGTATGGGAGAAAGGATAATAAAATGAAAAAAATCGCAAAAAGTGAATGCATCTGCACCCCATTGAGAGAATAACTTTGATCCACAACATCAGTTGTCTCCATCAATTAGTTTTTTAAAAGTAGATCATATGATATATTCAACTGAATTTTTGATTTTTCCGTCGATTCATCTAAAATTCAATTCAATAATTAATATGACCCTTTGCGCAAGAGGTGGCTCTCGTGGCCCAAGTGGTCTAGTGGATAACGCTTTGTCGTTTGAAACTATGGACACTGGGTTCGAGCCTCGGTGGGAACATCATCACTCACTGGAGAATGCAGGCACATCCAGATGGCTAGTCCCAAATAGGACGAAATGCACATCCTGGATTCCACTGTTGTCACCATCCACCAATTAGATCATATGATATAGCTTATTGATTTTAACAACCAGGGATTTTTCCAACGGATCCTGGGTTTGAATCATGCTTTACCTAGTTCAGTCTGTTCAACTGGATAGTATCATTATCGTTAACTTAAAGTGCTTGATTCACACTCTCCTACATGTGAAGTATCTGTTCCGTTTAACTAATTCCAAATACCTCACAACTGACAACAAAGTTATGACTGAATATTAACATTGAGAATTCTTTCGAAATACATATTTGTGCGTCGGTGGCACAGTGGTTAGGACTCTCGCCGACCATGCACATGGTCCGAGGTTCGAGCACACGCCGACGCACACCTGATATCTATGGTCGGCCTGCAAAATTTGGGCTACCGATATCCATGCTGAAAATTCCATACTTATACCGAAAAATACAGTGTGGAATCAAGCTGTAATCAAAAATAAAAATATATGAGTAAGAGCCAATAATATTGATCTGAAGAGGTTAACGGACATTGTGTCCCCAAAGTAACTAGATTGCAGAAATAGTCTGCAGATATAATAGAGAAAAGCGGGTGAAAAGACAAACTTTCGTTTTTTTAAAACACAGAAATGAACAACCAGAAACAGGAACTACACAAAAGAAAATCACGTCAGTATTGTTGCGTGAACCGAATTTGTATGCTGACATAAAAGTATAACGCTGTAATGATCACAATACCGACGATTCCACTGTGTTGTTTTGTGGTATATATTTCTCTCTTATTGTTCATAATATTGTGATTCGCTGAGCTTAAATTTAGCTTTGTTAACTATCCTTATTTTATTATTGTCACATTCATAATCACCTGTTGAGATACTTACTTACTGATAAGTGGCAACAAGCAAGAGACCTAGACTCAAGACTTCCTGCCGATTATCTCCAACCATCCAATAAAAACAATTATGTATTGCTCCGTAACTCAAAGCCACCTAACACATCGTGGACACATCGCAAACTTGACTGATAAAATCCAGTCTGCAGTTAACAAAGGACTAGGCGCATGACGGTAGTCAGTGTCCAATTAAAATTAAAGATACCACACGTTGCAGTTATTCGTATTCTGCTTTTTGTAAAATCTTAATTTTATGGTGATGACTTTCGTTTCTCCGTGTTGCAGTTTAATCCATCGCTCCACCAGTCGTGATTCTTGTAAAGTAACATCACATAGACGCACGCACAATGTACCACTTCCTAGTTTTTTCTTCAATAGCACACATCACAATATAATGAATCTATTGAATTTTATAAAAATGATTCCTATTCATATTATATTTAAATAATGCATAGACCGTTTATATAGTTTGTAAACTGTATTACGTTTGGGCTAAAATATGCCTTGTATTAAGACTATATTATTAATAATTAATATTATTACTATTAGTATTCCTATCATATCTTTTTATATAGGTGACATGAACCACTTGCATATTACTGGTAAGTAGTGGTTAATCATATGACTATCATCATATAACTATTTGTATACATTTTTTATTGTATATATTGGTCCCCAGTCAAATTTATTTTTTTTTTTACTTGTTTAGCTCCTATGAGGCATCAGAATAATCATGCAAGTACTGTATTGGACATTGAACCGAGTAATGACGATAGTTCTGAGTATCAAGTAAGTATTGATTTCTGTTGACTATGGTCTGTCATAGCGGTCTTATTTCTCTTTGGTTGTGGTGTTTAGTTAGCTAGTTGACAGAAGTGTTATGATTTTATAGACCATTCGGTGCGGTATTTACCAACATACGTCATCTGTGACGCAAACATGATATCAGACTACCAATCAAAGGATGTGTTTACTGCACACGATGTACTCTCTTTTCTCCTTTATTGTTATCAGATATATCCATTGAAGGTGGAAATTTGAAAAGCCTAGTTGTCTTTAGCCATAGATGTTTGTGTTATATCTTCCGTGTTATGTGATATAATAAGGCGAGTAAGGTTACGGTTAAGCATACAGTATTAGTTGGGGAAGGGCAGTCAGTCGATGAGGTTGTGAAGCTACCACGATTGAAATGTATTTATTATTATATCCTTTAATTCCTAGAGGAACATAGGGCTTCAGTCGCGCGTCTCCATTGTCTTCTGTTTTCTGCCAACTTTTTCACTCCGCTCCAAGTCTGCCCACATGCTTTCATCTCCTCTTCACATGACCTCCTCCAAATCACCCTTGCACTGACGACCAACTCGCCGCTTCCCTTTCGGGTTCCACTCGAACAATGGCTTGTGTAGTGATGTCACTCGATGGTTTCCTCAAAGTATGGCCAATTCACCTCCATTTGTTCCTACCTATTTGTTGCACAATCGGTTCCTGGTTGGTTCGCTCATTCCCAGAGATCCCTGTTGCTGATCTTTTCTGGCCAGCCATCTGATCTTGAGTATTGAGCGAAGACAGCTGTTGATGAAGGTCTGTAGTTTGTTTGGTGTGCTACTTATGACGCGCCAAGTCTCTGATCAGTATAGTATCACTGACTTCACATTGGAGTTGAAAATCCGGATGTTATTTTTGATGCTGAGTGATGTTGGCCTCCACACAGATTTAAGGGTAATGAAAGCCTGTCTTGCTTTTCCGATTCTGACTTTGATATCCTCGTCAGTTCCTCTCACCTGTAGTTGAAACGATGCTTCCCAGGTAGGTAGATAAAGGAGGTTGTTTCTTTCAGGTTCCTCCCATTTATGCTGACTGTCGTCTGTTGTTGTTGTTGCTGTCGGTGTTGGCCAAGAATCTTCATAACTTCTGTTTTATCTATGTTCACCGGAAGTCCTATCTTTGATGCTTTTTCTGCCAACTTGTTGCTTTTCACTTGCATATCTCCCAGTTTGTAGGAAATCAGACATATATCATCGGCGAAGTCCAGATCCTCCAAGTTTTTTGTATGGGTCCATTTTATGCCCGCCGCTGCTGTCTGTCTGTCGCGTTATCCAATCTACTGCAATCAGGAAAATCATTGGCGGTAGCAGGCAGCCTTTCTTTACTCCCGTCCTCACTTCGAAGGATTCCGTAAGTTTCCCGTTGTGGATTACTTGGCATGCACGCATTGTCGTACAACTGTTGGATGAGATGTATAATTGTCAATGGCACCCCGTAGTAGCGAAGTAGTTGCCAAATCACCTCTCGATCGACGCTGCGCTGTCGAAGGCCTTTTCAAAGTCGATGAAGTTGAGATAAAGAGGTGACTGCCATTCCAAGCTTTGTTAAATGATGATCCGTAGTGTGGTGGTTTGATCAATACATGGCTTGTTTCTCCTGAATCCAGCTTGTTCCCGTCGGAGTTTTGCATCCAGGGCTTGTTTGATTCTCTCCAGGATGATGCGGCTTAGTATTTTGCTTGGGATGGACAGGAGCATAATTCCGCGCCATTATTTGCATTTACTTAAGTCTCTTTTCTTTGGTAGTTTAAATAAGTATCCTTTCTTCCAATTCTCAGGTACTTTGCCCTCTTTCCACACCTTCTCCAGCAGTGGCGTCATCAAGTCCGCTGTTGTCTCTGGGTCTATTTTCAAAGCTTCTGCTGGGATTCCATCTGGTCCTGGTGCTTTCCCAGCTTTTAGCATCTTGATTGTATTCAGGACTTCTGATTTTGTCGGGGGGTCAATGTACACTGGTAGTTCTGCTTCCGTTGTTGGTATTGTTGGGCGCGTTGTAGGTGGCGGTCGATTTAGAAGTCTTTTGAAGTGTTCAGCCCAGTGCTTTCTCTGTTCCACCTCTTTGGTGATTGACTTTCCATTGTCGTCCTTTATTGGCTTAATCTGTGTCGAACGTTTGCCCGATAGGTTCCTAGTTGTTTGGTAGAGTGTGGCAAGGTCTCCTTTGCCTGCACTGCAGTTTGTTCTGCTTCACTTTCCATGGCTTCATAATATTTTCTTTTGTCTTCCCTGGCATTCTTCACTCTTTTGTTCAGTGTATTGTAGCTTGCATTCAACTTCTGTTTTTGTTGCTTGTCGGTGCACTGGATAATCTTTTGTTTCACTATCCTTCTCTCCTCTATTAGTTTCCAAGTGTCCGTAGTGAGCCACTGTTTGTCCTGCCTCTTCTTTCTGCCTAGAACTTCCATGCAAGTTTGATTCCACACCGTTTTCAAGTTGTCCCAGTGCTTTTCGACGCCGACCTCTTCGCTAGTGTTGATTTGTGTCTCGGCTTTTTCCCTTAAGTTTGCAATGAAGATGTCCTTTGTAGCCTGGTCCTTCAGTTTTTGAGTGTCGAACTTGGCTTGTGGTCTATCTGCAGCTGCTGTTTCCCTGAAAGCTTTTAATTTGATTTGGATTGTCCCTTGTACGAGATAGTGGTCTGAGCCAACGTCTACTCCTCTTCTTGCTTTTGTGTCCAGTAGGCTGCGCCTCCACTTCCTTGAGCAGCATTGAGATGAAGTCAATTTGGTTTTTGGTTTGCCCATCTTGTGATACTCATGTAGCCTTGTGGATATCTTTGTGTTTGTATGCACTGCCACCAATCACTAGTTCGTTGGAGGCACAGAAGTTGGCGAAGAGTTCTCCATTTTCATTCATTTCTCCGAGAGCTTCTCTACCCATGATGAGTTCCCTTCCTGTGTTGTCTGGTCCCAGTTTGGCGTTCATGTCTCGCATTAGTATTGTAATGTCGCCAGCTGGAATATTGTCCATTGTCACCTGTAGTTGCCTGTAGAATTCTTCTTTCTTTTCGAGGTCTGCGTTGTTTGTGGGTGCATAACATTGTATGATTGACACTTTCCTTCCTTTGGAGTTGAATCTGGCGGTCATTATCCTGGGCGAGATCGCCCCCCATTGCATCAGGGCCTTTGTTGCCGTTGGTGACATCATGATAGCCACGCCCTCGGTGTGCATGTGGTTATCTTCTGGGTGACCGGAGTAGATCACTGACACACCCGTTGACAATTTGGTGAGTCCACTCCCATTCCATCTGCTTTCACATATTCCCAGCACTTGGATTCCGTATCTTTTCATCTCGTTTACGATCTGGGCAGCTTTTCCAATCTCGTACATGTTGTGGACGTTCCATGTCCCCACACAGACTTTTCCTTTTGGTGCAAAATGATTCATCGCGCTGAAGTTTCTGTAGAAACTTTGTTTACAGGGCGGGGTTGCCAGCCTCATGCCTGAGAAGGGAGGTTGTTACATTAAAATATAGTTTACAGAGAAGCGACCTTGTGGGCTGCTCCCCTTAAAACCAGGAAAACAAGGAATAAAGCAATCAGAACAACACCAGCAAAAGGAAAATAATTCACAACAGGAAGGGCAAAAAGCGACAACAACAATACAATACAACAACATACAATACAGTTAAGCACAGTTAACTAAAATGATGTCAAAACGATAGACTCACTGACTTGGGCCAATTTGAACATATAAATCCAACAATATATACAATTATAGATATGTTAGTGTTAAAAGGTCACAAAATGTCAAAAAATACTTTGTTATAGGTATAAGTAGTCAGTGATATTATATCAACAGGTTCAGTGTTCGAAAGTTAACAGTTTGTAATAAATTCCAGAACTTCGTAGTGAGATACAACAAAGAAATAATAGTTTTATATATATATATATATATATATATATCAGCGAAACCGTAATGCACTAATCGAAAAGCACGCTGTTGAATCACATTGACAAAGTGTATTATTATTATTCCTTATTTGAACTAAAAAAAAACTTCTGTCTGTCTGTCTGTTCTCGACATAGAACTTTGCACAAATGTGCGGAAGTTCAAGTCGCCACATTCCGTGTAGCACGCGAAGCAAGAGAAGAAAGTACAAGAAAAGCATAATAGAAACAGTGAGCAGAGGTGTGAGACAAAGGAGTAATAAGAGAACAAAACAGTTTCATTGGAAATCATAAGTCACAGGAGTGGATGCATCTGCGCCACTGAGAACGATTTTGAGCCATGTCACCAATTGTTTCCAACCATAGATTTTTACCGTCCCGAGGACCCCAGCCTGGAAGTCTACACCTTCCTACGTGGCTTAGACCAACTGTTGTGGATTTCATTGACTGATGCCAAGTTTTTGTTTGACCGCCGCTAGCTTTTTTCCAGCCTGACCCTATATCCGCTAACATTGCTCGTCGAGGGAGGCGATGGCTTGGCATACGTAACACATGTCCTAACCATCTCAGTCTTTGTAGCTTCACGACTTCGTCGATTGATTTCCCCTGTTTACCTAGAACTCTACGCCTAACCTCCATGTTGCTCACCTTATTATGCCACTTTACACGGGAAATAGAACGCAGGCACCTATGATCAAAGACAGCTAGTCTTTTCATGTCTTCCACTCTCAGTGGCCAGGTCTCACAACCATAAAGGAGGACGGAGCGGACTGATGAGCAGTACACCCGCCCTTTGGTCGATAGTCGAACATCTCGTCTACGCCAGAGTCGGCGTAAACTAACAAATGCGAAACGAGCCCCTTGTATTCGTGCTGAGATTTCGTCAGAGATCAGCCCGTTGGGGCTGATGGTACTTCCCAAATAAGTGAAGCGGTCAACGTGCTCTACCACTTCACTTCCTATTTTTAAACTAGGCGTCGATGTAGTCCAGTCCTGTAACATCATCTTGCATTTGGCGGGAGCGAATCGCATGCCAAACATTCGTAGATTGCGGCTCAAGGTGTTTAGAAGACTC